GCACCCGCAAGGCGCCCGAAGGCACCCGAAAGGCTCCCGAAGGACACCCGAAAGAACCCGCAAGGCACCCGCAAGGCACCCGAAGGCACCCGCAAGGCACCCAAAGGGCACCCGAAAGCACCCGTAGCGCACCCGGAGGGCACCCACAAGGCACCCGCAAGGGCACCCGAAGGCATGTGCAAAGCACCGCAGAGCACCCGAAAGCACTCGCAAGGCACCGACAAGGACCCGATAGCACACGCGAGGAATCCGCAAAGCACCCGCAAGGCACCCGCAAAGCACCCAAAAGGGCACCCGCAGGCACCCGCAGGGCACCGCAAAGCACCCGAAGGCACCCGCAAGGCACCCGAAGGCACCCGTACAACACCGAAAGCCACTGGAAGGTGCTTGTAGTTCCCACGGGGCGCCCGACGACATCCGATACGCTCCACCCACGCAATGTTTGACAGACCCCCCGAAGGCACCAGCAAGCGCCCGCAAGGCGCCCGAAGGCACCCGAAAGGCGCCCAACGGGCACCCGGAGCGCCCGTAAGGCACGCGCAAGGCACCCGAAGGCACCCGCAAAACACCGCAGGGCACCCGAAAGCATCGGCAAGGAAGCCGAAAGGCACCCGCAAGGGACCCGGAAGGGCACCCGAAGCATCTGCCAAACACCGCAGGGCACCCGAAGGCACCCGCATGGCACCTGAACGCACACGACCAACACCGAAAGGCACTGGAAGGTGCGCGAGTACTTCCCACGGAGCACCCGAGAACGTCCGAGACGCTCCACCCACAAAGCGTTTGACGGACCCCTACAAAGCACCGGCGGGGCACCAGACAATCCCAGAAAGGAACGAGGCACCCTGGGGCTCCCGACAGCTTGTAGAAGCACGCCGAGAAACTCGCCGGCCTCTCCCCGCCCCTTGTCTCCCTCTCCCTGCCCCTCCTGCTCCTCCCCCCCCTCCCCCTCCTCCTCCCCCTTCCCGCCCCTGCCCTAAAAGCCGTTGCTGAACGCGCCGCCCGCGCTCTCAGCCGCGCTGCCGCGCTTGCCTGGCCCCTTGCCGCTGGCTTGGCCCGGCGCGGCCTTTCCCGGCGCCGTGCTCGCGGCCTGCGCGTTGCCGCCAGCCTTCCCGCCAGCGCCCTGGGCGGCGCCGCCCGGCGCCCCGCCCGCGCTCCCTGGCCCGTGGCGCGGCTTGCCCTGCCCCTTGCCGCCGCCGCCTCGTTGGCGGCGCGCGGGAGGGCCGAGCGCGTCGGCAGCCTTCGAAAAACGCAGCCCCCTGGTAAGCGTTCTGCTGAAGCCTACTGCAAGGCATCAGCTCTCTCCGTAGGAGGCCGCCGTCATCCTTCGAAGGCCGCCCCCCGCGCCGCCCCCGCCCGCGCGCCGAGGGCCTTTGCCGCGGGCCTGGTCTTGCTCCTTGCGCCCCGAGCAACTGTAGCAGGCCTGCGCCTTCAGCTTCAGCTCGTGGTTCTCTTGCAACAGCCTCGCGTTCTTCTCGTGGAGCTCCTGCGGGGACCGTGCCCGCAAACGCCAGCCCGTCGCACTCGGAGAGCCCTGCGCGCGCACTTCGGAACGCACCGTGCCCAGGCGTTCGAGGAGCTGCGCGGGGCTCTCCCCTGGTGCGCGGGCGATTGCGCGCGCACTCCCCGGCGCCGAGTTCTTCTGGTGGAGCGCCACCTGCTCCTGCAAAGCCAACTCCTTCTTGCCCGGGTAATCCACGCCGTCGACGTGCTGGCCGCCGTGGTACATCGTGGCCCAGTAGTTCACCTGCGCCTGGAGCTCTGACGTTTCGCGCGTCAGGCGGTGGCCCTCCGTCGTCAGGCCCGCGCACCTTGCAGAACAAGTGCGGTTCTCGGTGCGACCCGGCGCCCTCGCGCGGAGAAGTCTGAACTTCTCCCCGCGAGCGCGCTTAGCGGCCGTCACCCGATGGACCGACCTGGTCTCCAGCCTCTCCTTGGCCGCCTCTGCGTCGAGCGCCTCCTGGCGCGCCTGCGCCAGCTCCGCGCGCGCCGTCGCGAGCTCTGCGTCGCGCTCGCCCAGCGCCGTCGCCGCGGCGGCGGCTTCCTGGCGCGCCTGTGCTAGCTCCTTCCGCAACCTGTCCGCCTCCGCGCCGCGCGGCGAGCTCCCCGCGACCCCCGGCGCCGCCGCCGAGCTCGCCGCCGCCGCCCGCGCCGGAGCCGCTTCCGGCGCCGCCGCGGCTGCGCGCGGCGGCGCGTCGGGTTCCGCGCTCGCGGACTCGTTGTCGGAGCTCTCCGAGCTCTCCGAACCGCCCGAGCTTCTCGAGGAGCGCGTGCGCGAGCGCGGCGACCCGGCCGCGCTCCTCGGCGCCGCTGCCGTCGCCGCCGCCCGCCGCGCCGGCGCGGCGGCCGCGGTCGTCGGCCTCGCGGCACATCGAAGACACGTCGCCGCACCGACCACCTCCAACCTGTCTTGCCGACGCCCACGTGTAGCAATACACGCGCGCGCCGCCGAGACAAGCCGGCGGCAGCGGCGCGGTGACGTCAATGACTGCGCAGCCTGGCGCCCCTGTTTCTCTGGGCCGTGACCGCGGCGCCGTCCTTGAGGGTGTCGCCCAGCGGCAAGTCCAGAGGCAGCGGCTTGCCCCGCGCGCGCCCCTCGGGGAGATCCGCTTCCCGCCTTTCTACGCGCGAATGCAACCTCCGGCACGGGCGAAATTTCTAAGCCAACGCCAGCCAGGTGGCAGATAGTCACAGCGACGCCCATGAAATAGCTGGCGCTGGAAGGGAGGAGAGGCAGGGTGACTGAAAAAGACAAGAGGGGCCGGGAGGGAAGGACAGCACGAGCAAGAGCTTCCGCCGCCGCTTCCTGCCGCCGACGCTGCCCTTGGCCCTCGGCTCTGGTTTTTCTTCAAAACGTGGGCTCCTGGGAAAGAACGAGCGGCCCCGCGGGCGAGCGCGGCTTCACCCGAAAATGTTCGGCGGTGCAGAGACCGCGGCGGGCCCACTCGGGAGCGGCGCGCCCGCCCACCGAACGCGCGAGCTCAGACAATAAATTTCGCCGTCTGCGGAGGAAGTATTCGCATGTATTTGGGGCGAGAAGGTATCGCCAGCCTCGTTCTGGAAGTTCGCTGCCTTAAACGTCCAGCCGAACTTGTCCCAGATGGCGGCTAGAAGCTCCGCCCCGGTGGCCGACGAGTCGATGGCGATAACGTCCGACTTCGAGTGGCCGTTCACGGCTAGCAACTTCAGCATGACCATGGCGGCGGCCGTGAACAGCTGCCAGAAACTAAAATTTGAACCACAAGTATTGCCAATTACTTTCAACACCACCCATACCCCTGCTACCTTCTCTTCCTCCTCCTCCTCTTCCGTTTTTCTTCCTCTGACTCCTCTCCCTCCCCGGTCCCCAAGAAGGCCTCCGAAGGGGCGAAACGGCGCAAAGGCGCCCCAGGACGGCCCAAGACGCCCCCAAGAGGCCCAAAGAGGTCCCCAAAAAGCCCTCCAGAAACCCCAACAAACCCCCAAGAGGCCTCAAAGAGGCCCCAAAGAGGCTCTCAAAGGGCCCCACAACGACAGGACTCAGCGGCCAGCTGACGGTCTGGACCAGGTGCAGTGCAGCGGGCGGTTCATTGCAAGAACTCCGCTGGGCGCACCGCACCTCCAACTGCAGGCACGCGAGGAGGGAGGAAGGAGGGCAGTGGCCCCGAGGTAGATGATTTCGTGCAAAGGGCGATTGCCGAACATATAGGCCAGCCTTGTACTGACACGCGGAGAATGCTCATTCACCTCGTGGACATTCGCACGCTCGTCCCAGCGCTGAAACTGAGGGGGGCGCATCCGCCCCCCGTGGCGCTGGCGGCGCCCGGAGGTGGGCAGACCGGCACTGCGGGCAGACCACCCAACGCTCGGTCTGTACGTGCTCCGGACGTGCACCCCGCGAAGCGAGAGGAATCTCAAGCTCCAGGATCACAACTGGTGAAGAAAATTCGGGCGAAACGCCTGGCCCACCCTACTGACACGTCTGGGGGTGCGACAGGGGGGAGTTATTTATGAGATCAAGGAAAAGAAAAAGGAGTGGAGGAGGAGGAGGAGGAGGTGGGGAAACTAAAAGGTACCAATAACGCTGCTCCCCGGACCTCTCCCAGGGTGCGTTCTGACCAGAACCTCGAGGCGAATCCAGCGGTGGCGGCAAGGGCTTCCAAGGAGGGCCAGAAAGGGGAAAACGAGGGGGAGATTTTGGCAGCAGTACCTCTTCCTCAGACGAAGCCAGGACCTGGACAAAATCGGATGAGCGGTATGGGTACGAAGGGAAAACGAAGGAAGGGTAGCGGTATGGCTACCTGATCCTCCTCTGAGGGCCCGATGCCCTCGGGGGCTCTTCAAATAAGGAATCGAACTCTATACACCGACGCTGTTTCCGGCCCTGCATTGAAATTTGCACTGGAGAGCAGATCCTGGTGTATGCGGGCCCGTGGTGTATACATTTTTCTCGCTTCCCCGGGACATCGGGGAAAAAAGTATACACCACACCACCCCAGCGTCGTCCCCGACCTTCAAAAAGCCGTGGGATTGAAAAAACAGCCCGCCACTGGTAGTGTATGTATGCTCCAGGTCCCGATCGAAGGCTCCCGGACGACCAGCGTGCAGCGCACGGCTCTCGTTGCCCGAGGGGCCCACAGCGGTCTTCGGAGGGAGGCGCCGAGCGGGCCGCCTGCCCGTTCCGCGCGGGCCGCGCTCGGCCCAGGAGGGTGGCTCGAAATATGCCGCCGAGGGCCTCAGCACACAACTGGGCCCCCTCGCCCCGAGAAGCCCCCGAGCGGCCCAAAAGAGGCCCCCCACAAGCCCCAGGAGGCCCAAACGAGGCCCCAAAAAGAGGCCCCGAGACGCTTCAAAACTGCCTCCACGAGGTTCCGCCAGGCCCGCAAGCAGCTCCCAGGCAGAGCCCGAGAAGACCCCGACGCCTCAACCGTGGACTCCCCGCCTCTTCTGGGGGTCGACGGAGTGGCGCAAGCCTCTTGAATAACTGGGGCCCCCCGTCCCTGCGAGTTGGACCCCAAGTCCTGATCATCTTCATCTCGTGCTTGGGTGGTCTCGAGACCTCACCTGGGGGTCGCACTGAACACAAGCGTGACTAGGAGGAGGTCGCCTGCCTCTGAAACGGCACTGGCCTGTCTGACGCACTGTCTGGCAAAGCGCGCAGACCTCTGCAAGCGCCGACACAGCTGAACACATGCGTCGCCCTTCGCCTGCAATCACAGAACAACCCTGCCCCCATGACCTCTGTCTTAAGGGCCCCCAACGGCGCGCGTTCGCAGGGGGTTCATCCAAGGGCGTTCCAGAAGATCCCTCCAACTCTCCTCCTCCTCCTCCTCCTCCTCCTCCTCCTGCTCCTCCTCCTCCTCCTCCTCCGATCCTTTTCCTTACAAATAACTTCTCCCTGTCGCACCCCGAGGCCAGTTTGTAGAGTGGGCCGGAGGTTTCACTTGAGACTTCCTCACCATTTACGACTCGGAAGCTAAGTGGCAACAGCTTCACAGATGGAGGGCGAGTTGTTTTCAAAATGTCGCTCTCGCCTTAGCGCCGCGCACACTCCTTTTACACATGTGCAAGACTTTCACGGATTGATGGCGGGTGGTTTTCAAAATGTGGCTCTCGCATTAGAGCTGCGCACATTCGTCTTCAACATTTGCAAGAGTTTCACGGATTGAAGGCGGGTCGTTTTCAAAATGCCGCTATCGCCTTAGCGCCGCGCACACTGGCTCAGAAAACTTGCAAGAGCTTCACGGATTGATGGCGGGTCGTTTTCAAAATGTCGCTCTCGCCTTAGCGCCGCGCACATTCGTTTATATATTGTTTGACGGATTGAGGGCGGCTCCTTTTCAAAATGTGGCTCTCCCCTCAGCGCCACGCACATTTGTTCATGAATTTCTGAAGAGCTTCACGGATTCCCATGATCAACATACCAGGCACTGTGTTTTGGAAGGATTCAGGATTATGCGGGTGCAACAGTTCTGTTGGTTCGCGCTGTTGAAATCCCCAACACGGCGTTCTGGCACGATTCAGGGTCGTCAAGACGTAGCCATCAGGTTGATCCGTGGCGTTGGAATCCCGAGAACGATGTTTTGGTATGCTTCTGGGTCTTCAAACGGTCTTCCAACGAGGCAGCTCCCTCAATGGAAACGAACTGTTGCAGGGAGCTTGGAGGGAGGGTTTATTCCAACATCGTTGATGACTCTTGGATTACACTTGTCCTCCTCCTCCTCCTCCTCTTCCTCCTCCTCCTTCTCCTCCTCCTCTAGATTCCTCATCTTCACCTGTCCTCCTCCCCTCCTCCTGGTCTTTTTGGGGCCCCGACCGGTGGCCTTGCTTCTGCGCTAGCCCAGCGCCGACAGGGGAAGTCTGCGCCTACCTCCGAAGGAGTGAGCGCAGACAGTCGATGGGAGGGGGGAGGAGGAGGAGGAGGAGGAGCGAGAGGAGGAGGAGCGAGAGGAGGAGGAGCGAGAGGAGGAGGAGCGAGAGAAGGAGGACGAGGGGGAAGGAACAGGAGGACACGCACCAGGACACAGGATTCTTCCGAACGCCACGGTTCCATGGGCGCGCAGAAGGCACGGGTCGCGAGACACGGGACACGGGGCCCTTGTGAACCGCTCCTCGACGGACGGCACCGGCCTCTGCCTCGTCGGCACTGAAATTGGTGGTCGCGCAGGGGCGCCGTGGATTTTGCACGTAACTCAAGGGGCCCAAAGACACACAAATAAATACACACAAATAACAGGATGTCCCAAATCTGCCCATATTTTCTAGGTTTTTGTCTTCCCCCCCACAAGGGATCGACGATTAATTGTGTCTGTGTGTGCTTTTTCCCTTCCTGAGTAACAAGGGTAACCTGGATTTGGCAGGGTCGACCTACTAGTCGACTTCGGCTGTCCTGCCTTCTGCGCTTCGAGGGCGGAGGTCCTGGCCTCCGGATGACCAGAGGATGCGCTGCGTCAGGGTTCGGGTGCAAGGGGACGCGTCGTGCTCCCGCCAGAGCGGTCATTTGGCGAAATGTCTGCGACGGCATGCTTGGAAGGGGATGGCGGTAGTGAGCTCACCGAAGGCAAAACATTTACCCACCCCACCATCAGCCTGGCACAAAGCTGTGCCGTCAGTTCGAATGCGCAGGCTCCCAGCGGCCTGGCGCGCGGCTAGGAGCCTGTTCATGTTTGCAGATTACCTCTAAGCCGGAAGCCAGCTAGGTTAGATAATCCCTCTAAGAATGCGCGCCAGCTGGAAGACCGCACGCTCTCTCGCAGACCCTTTTCCCTCCGCTCAGGCCCAATACGGAAAGTCACCGTTGCACATCATACCGCACTCTACCGTCGCAAATGGTGGGGCCTCCAATAAGCCATGCGCCCTCTCCCCAAACCGGGCACACCGTCACAACACACAAGTTCTGCTACTGCATAAGCCCCAATTCTTCCACGAGCTTGCTATCCCACATGGTGGGACTGATGCTGGTCCAGGGACTGCAAGTGAGGAAGAAACCGCGGTGCGAATGCAACCGCTTTTTTTCCGAAGCCACTCCTGCCCATTGAGGCCTCAGAGCCCGTTGGAGGGCTCTGAGCCACCGTGCAGCCCTCATGGGCTGCATGCCCATCGAGCCCTCAAATGGATGCTGTGTGTCGGGCGTTGGTAGAACTGGGTTTAGTGGAACCTGGTTTAGTGATCTGTACAGGGGGGCGCCCCCCCGTCCCATTTCCACTAACCGGAACTGCCGCCACCCGAAAGAACACCAGCTATGGCAAACCTGGTTTAGTGACTGTGGCCAATTCAAAGGCTCCGGGGCCCTACCACCAACCGGGCCCCCTTACCCCGGGGTCCTGGCCATGCCCGAGGGTGGGCTCTCCGAGGGCGGGGGCCCGAGCCCCGGGAGGACCGTCGTGCCGCCAGTCCGGCACGTTGCCGCTCGTGCTGGGCGCGCGGCGCTGGCGGTACGACGGCTTCTCGGAGCCGCAGATGGGGCACGCCTTGGCGCGCGGGGGTCGGCCGAGGGGGCGGCAACGGGCGGGCCCCCATGATCTACACCACCACCTCCTCCATTCCTCCAGTCCTCCTCCTTCGCCCGCCCTCATCTTCCTCGTCCTCGTTCCTGGGGGGAGAGAGGGAGGATGAGGGAGGGAGGTGGTGGTGGTGGTGGTGGAAGGAGTGGTGGTGGTGGTGGTGGTGGTGGTGGTGGTGGTGGTGGTGGTGGTGGTGGTGGTGGTGGTGGTGGTGGTGGTGGTGGTGGGGGTGCTGGTGCTGGTGCTGGTGGTGGTGGTGGTGGTGGTGGTGGTGGTGGTGCTGGTGCTGGTGGTTGTGGTGGTGGTGTGGTGGTGGTGGTGGCGGCGGCGGTGGTGGTGGTGGTGGTGGTGGTCGTGGTGATGGTGGTGGTGATGTATACCCTTGGGCCCCGTACAGCATCCGCCTCTACCACCAGATATGTCGTCGCTTTCGTTTCGCAAAGTAAGGAGCCGAACTCCATCCACCGACGCCTTTGTCTGTCCCCACACTGAATCTCGCACAACAAAGCGGATCTTGGTGTATACGGGATCCTGGTGTATACATTCTTCGTTGTTTCCCCTGGAAAACAGGGAACAAAGTATACACCGCACCACCCCGACGTCGTCCCCGACCCTCAAAAAGTCCTGGGGTTGAAAAACCGCCCGCCACTGGTAATGTAAATGCTCCAGTTTCCGACAAAGGGTTCCAGGTGACTCTGGTAGGCAGTCGCTTGTGAACCCTACCCTTCAGGTTTAAAGTTCTGAAAAGCCGGCTGGGCTCAGAATTTGAAGGATGTCTGCAGACAAGTTAGCCAAAGCGGGGGTGCGCGATACCCTAGCATCGATTGGACCCAGAGGGGTAGGGGTCGCAAGTGGTCGGAAAGCTGACTAGGACAGGACCCTGGGAGGGGTGTCCGGGGATCTGCTTTGAGCGGCAGCTGGTCAAAAAGCAGGAGGCTTCCCAGAAGTGCCGGGAGACCTTCTTCGAAGAGTTCAGGGAGAGGCACTGACAGCCAGTCCTCCCCCATACCTCCAACCGCAGCACCTCGTCCTCGTCCTCGTCCTCGTCCTCGTCCTCCTCCTCCTCCTCCTCCCTCCTCTTCCTCCTCCTCCTCCTCCTCCTCCTCCTCTCATCCTCGTCCTCGTCCTCGTCTCGTCTCGTCCGTCCTCGTCCTCGTCCTCGTCCTCGTCTCGTCCTCGTCCTCGTCCTCGTCCTCGTCCTCGTCTCGTCTCGTCCTCGTCCTCGTCCTCGTCCTCGTCGTCGTCTCGTCCTCGTCCTCGTCCTCGTCCCTCGTCCTCGTCCTCGTCCTCGTCGTCTCGTCCTCGTCCTCGTCCTCGTCGTCCTCCTCGTCCTCGTCCTCGTCCTCGTCGTCCTCGTCGTCCTCGTCCTCCTCCTCCTCCTCCTCCTCCTCCCTCCTCCTCCCTCCTCCTCCTCCTCCTCCTCCTCCTCCTCCTGGGCACAGCCTGGGGCGCCACAGAGTCTATGGTGCCTCAGCAGGACCTCGAACGCGGCTAGGGGCGCACCTTGCAACCGCCATTAGCCGCGCCCATCGGACATTAATAAAGGATTAGGGCTCTGGGAGCAGGCGATATCCTGCATACCTCAGAACCCTCTTGGCCAAACAGTACTCGCCCCGTCTCAATCGTTCAAGGATAAGGCGACGATCCTTCGAGAGATGGCGGGGCTGGCACTCACTCGCAAGAGACACCACGCGCTGGGTGGTGCATGCAGCGCAGTGAGTGCAACAAAAAACCTGGGTTTCGCCCACAAACAGCGAGGCCACCCGATGATGCTTGGACCCAGCGGCCTTCAGAGAAACCTGAGCCTGCTGGATCCTTTGCTCTAAGGTGGGCGGCTCTGGCTTGACAATGATTAGGGAGGGGGCTGAACGTGCAGAGCGCTGACGGTGCAGACAGTCGACGGACGCAATGGCCTCACCCGCCCTGGCGGCCCATTTCCCCGTAAGACTGACCATCTTCTTCTGCATCAAAATAAGCTTCTGAAACTGGGGATCGGGCCGCAGGACACGAGCACGACTGTTCGCAGCACCGTCGGCGGCATCATTACCAAGTTTGTCCCGAAGCTTATACCTCCCTTCCGCTATCAAAGTGTCTGTCACATGGGCTTTCACTTTCTTGACCTCAGGGGGGGTACCCCCCCAATCGTCAACTTTGTGCCATACAAGCTTCCAAAGACAGGCCCAAGCCGCCGACGCCGACGTGGTGTCAGCTGGTCCGCGGATATTGTAACCTTTCCAAACAAAATCTGAATCCGTGTGCACGACAACAGGTGGCACCGCGAACCTGAGCACTGCGAGCAGGGCATAAAGTTCAGCACCGTCTATGTCCTGCAGCGGGTAGGGCAGGAGACCTGTGATGGTGCAGACAGCCGTGTCACTGTCGGCGGCCAGCGCGACGACTGCCCATGCAGCAATCCCGCGATGTGGGTAATCAGTAAACAATGACCCATCAAGAAACAGATCCCCTGTGAGCTGTTGCGCATCCCCGTGCCATTCCACACGAGGCTCCAACGGCGTCTGCAGCAGAGCCTGAGGGGCCTTGGGGAGCGGGACAAGCACACGCTCCAGCATCAGGCGCACCAGGTCATTCTGGTCCGCATGCGGGAGCATGAGTCTGATTGCATCAGGGAGTGGCTCTCCTATTGCCTCGAGCATGCTCTTACACACAGCGTGCCGGTGCACGAGGGACCCAGGGGCCACAAGGCATGCAAGGCAACTCGGGGAGTCAATCCAACCTTGTTGAAATTGCCGATCTTGGGGCCACTGAGCTCCAATGATAGCACTCCTGAGGTAACCACGCTGCTGCCAAGTGAGGTTCCCCTTGGCGCTCAGGAGGTACTTCAGAGGCCCATCCCAGAAACCAGCACGAAATTCAGGCATCTGAAGGTGCTCCGAAATCTGCAGGTTGACCCAGTGGCGCACCGCGTGCGCACAACAGTGCAGGAGGACCCTGGGGCAAATGTCCGTGAGTTTCAGCTCCAGACCGTCAGGCAGCTTCCAGACCAGGGGCTCGACGACGACGATCCCGACTCTGGTGAGCGTAGCATAAAGGGCTCCCAAGGGGCCCCGAACCTGCGGCCACATTTGGTCCTTCCCAGACAACGCCAATCTAGCAGCCTCAAGGCCATGCTCTAAGACATGACATGGCACACGCGACGCCCAAAGAACAGAACTAAACGCTTTGATAGGCTCCAGAGTAGCCCTCCAGATCGGGTCGTCGTTGGCCTGCGGCGCGAGCGCGAGAGCGAGAGTGCGGCTCTTGCCGCTGGTCTTGGCGTCGAGCGCCGCAGCGGCCTGGGAACGCAACACGTCCAGCTCCTTTGAGGCAGTACCCTGAACAGAGGTCCCAAAGGCAACCGAAGTCTCCAAAGCCGCCCTGGCCATGATGGCCATGGTTTTCCGCCTGGCCATACCTCCCTGGAGATGTTTCATTCTCTTGAGCTTGGGTTTGGCGACCTTAATTCTGCCCGTCCTGGTGGTCCTCCTGAGAAACCTTCCTGAACTGTAGTCAACCCCCAGGTTGCGCTCATGGTTCACGCCCTGGGCCCTAAGCGATACTAGCCTCCTGGACAGCTGGTCACGTAAATCAGAGTCACTAGCAAGAACACGCGTCTTGTCAAGAGCGAGCCGTAGATCCACGCGCTGAAGCTCGCGCTGAAGCTTCACTCCAGCACCAGCTACATCAGCAACGACACGGCCGTGTTCCCCCGATCTCTGCAAAGCAAAATCGTCGACAACCACGGAAAGACAGATGGCCCGAAACCCCTCCTGAACAACATCCAGGGGGCCCAGCAACACAAGTTGCAGCAAAACAATAGCAAAACCACACCCAGGGATAATCGTAGTTTCCGCCGTGATGTGATTACTAACAGTCCCTTGGAGATCAAGCAGGCGGGGCGTCCGATAGACTTGCACAAGCAAACGCAGTTGCCACAAAGGAACTCCAGTGCGAGCGGCAGCCTGGACAAGATGATGATGCTTGACCAGTTCAAACGCTTTCTTTAAATCGAGCAGCAACGTAGCAGACGACAGGCCCTTGGACTGATAATACTCCGCCCACACGGCCTGAATGCACACACACATGTCGGCGCTTTTCCCCTTGGTGCCCCACCAAAAACTCCGATAGTTCTTGACTTGCCACTGCCTGATCAAAGGCCTTCTCAACCTGGACTGCACCCGACAGAGAACGTGTAACAGCCCCAGGGGTCGGACTCCTCCCAGTCTTTTGAGAATAAAAACAATCTTGTTCGTGAGGGGAGGCCAGTCCGCCTGCTCCTCAATCTTCCCGATGAGGCCGCACAAAAGCTCGAGCGCAATGTCGGGCAAGTGCAGAAAACTCCTAGGCGGGACCTGGTCGTATCCACAACCAGTGCCTAGCGGGAAGGACATCAACACTTTCTTGAGCTCTGGGACCGTGGGGGGAGACGGGCGCTCTCCGAGATCCGCAGGCCAGTGCACGGGGGGCTGCGCGACCCCCACCTGCCACCAATTGCTCCACTCCCTTTCAAGTTCGTCCATTTCCCCCATGCTGGTGTTGGGTCGGAGGGTGAAGGAGTCGAGGGTGGACGGCTGCCACGGGTCAGGCAGCTGCACATACTTGAAGAGGGCAGCAGCCCCGCCTACCGAGTGCATTTTTACCCATCGGTCCCAGTTGACTATCTTCAGCTGGGTCGCCTGCTTGTGCAGGCGCTCGGCAGTGTCGCTGGCGACGGTGGCGAAATAGTCCATAACTACGTAGTCGAAGACGCGAAACCGATCCAGGGCCTCCAGGAAACAAACCGCGAGCTTCGAATCTGGAACATCAGGCGAACTCTGAAGATGTCGGATCCTGCAAAGTACCTGCTTGGTCTGGGCAGAGCTGATGGGCCTCGTGAGGGTCTTAAGGACCTGTGCCAAGGCTCTCCACCACACAGCTTGAGGGCTCAGACGCGGAAAAGGAACTGGAGCAGGCCGGCTCGGTCGACACCACCCAGTACGAACATCACCACCACGCCCAAGGTAAGGTTTCGAAAGTTCAGAAGGAATCTGAAACACCTCTAACCATTCAAGCTCAGCAGCCGAAACAAAAACTTGCCACGACTTAGATATGCTAGCATTGCTCATCATCTCCGACGCCACCTCCCACCTGGCTACGTTGGGCTCTCCACGGCAACCAATGGGCAACTCCCTGGGGAACCTGCGGGGAACCATAGCCATGCGCACCGAGGGTACAGTGTCCAAGGTGGGTAGCTTCAACTTTACTGGAATATGCGGGGTGATCGCCACTTCTGCCAGCAGTGAGACCGAGGCGTTCGCCGCAAACGCCTTGGAGACAACGAAAAAATCAATGGTCCTGTGTGCTGGCGCACATGTTCCAGCATCCGTGTAAATGGCAGCACCGTCGATTGCATCAACCCAGCCTGAATGCTGGAGCACGTCAGGCTCGAGATTAAAGTCCCCGAAGATGAGGAACGGCATGTTGGCCATTTTCAGCAGCGCGCCTAGCCTGCAAAGAAGATCCCAGTTGGCAGGTGCAAGTCCGACAGAATGATGCAGATAGAGCGTGCACGCTAGGAAACCCCCTGGTACGAGACCTCCCACATGCATCACCATCATCCTCCCCACCTGCACGTCGATCGGAAAGCTCTCAATCGGCGCCAGGCCGATATGCTTCGGCACAGCGAGCATCGTGCCAGCAGATATGCCGCCTCCAGCCGTCTGACGGGCTGGCGAAAGTTTGGCTCTCCACCCTTGCCGCCTGAGTTTATGCTCACAAGCTTCAACCTCCAACACCCGCGTTTCCTGTACACCGACTAACTGAGCCTGGAGCACAGAGGGGGAGGAGAGGAAAATGTCAAGCCCAGAGCGATCAGTGACATTGGCAGAGACAATATTCCAAAACCTCGGGGCCTTTGGCCCCATGGCGCGTCTAGCCGCACGGCTAGAGGCGCTTCCGTTTGAAATCAGCACCGGCCTCATCGAGCGCAGCCTCCAGCTGCGATCGAGTGATGCCGCTCTCACCTGCAGAGCTGACGAGTTTGTCCATCCAGTCGCCCTGCTTGAGGTTGCCGATGGCCGCATCCATGTCGATGTCGTGATCGCCTGCAGCATCACTGGGCTCAGCAGCAGCACCACCAGCATCACGTTCATGATCACGATCTGCCGCCTCAGCACAAGCTTTTGCAGCAGCCGCTTCCTCCTCGTCCTTCTTGGCCTTCTGGCGGGCCTCCGCGACCTGCTTGATCGAGTCGACCACGCCCGCCTCGACCCCCAGCTCACGCAGCTGCTCCACAAGGTACGCAGCATGGTCAGCAGGCTGAGGCCTAGAGGCACGCCCAAGCTCGGAGAAGGCGCTGGCGGCGGCGCGGGCCGCCTCGAGCTCCTTGGCCTCGAGCTCCATGTACTTCGCCTTGAGCTCAGCAGTCTTCTGCAACTGCTTGGCCAGCACTTCCTGAGACTTCTCCCAGGCGTTCTTGGCCTTGGCGACCTGATCCTTGAGCGTGTCGTGCTGCTGCTTGGCCTGGCGACTGAGGGCCAGCGGGTCGCCTGTCTGCACAGCTCGCAGCCCCAGCAAGTGCGCCTTCTCCTCCTCTCCTCCTCCTCCTCCTCCTCCTCCTCCTCCCTCCCTCCTCCTCCCTCCTCCCTCCTCCTCCGCCTCCTCTCCTCCTCCTCCTCCTCCTCCTTCCTCCTCCTCCTCCCTCTCCTCCTCCTCCTCCTCCCCCTCCTCCTCCTCCCCCCTCCTCCTCCTCCTCCTCCTCCTCCTCCTCCTCCTCCTCCTCCTCCTCCTCCTCCTCCTCCCTCCTCCTCCTCCTCTCCTCCTCCTCCTCCTCCTCCTCCTCCTCCTCCTCCTCCTCCTCCTCCTCCTCCTCCTCCTCCTCCTCCTCCTCCTCCTCTCCACCTCCTCTTCTTACCGCCTCCCACCTGGTGCCTGCTGCTTCATGCCTCACGTCGCCCGCTTCCTCTCCACCATCTCCACCACCGCAGCTTCGGCTGGCACCCAGGCCTTCCGCCGCGCAAAGCACAAATTGCCGCACTTCCGGTTCGGGCACTCCCAGTCGTCGGGCTGGATTTTCTTGGGGCGCTTGCAGTGGAGCGACTCGGCCTCCACTGGAGCGGACATCATCTCCTCGCCATGGGAGAAGCGGGTCCCGAGGGAAGCAGGTTCCAAACCCCGCAGCTTCCCCTGGACAGCCTTCTCATCGTGAGTCGGTTGTTGACGGCCCCGGGGCCCGGAAAAGGGCGCTGGGAGGCCGAATGCGGTGGGAAGCAACTCGGGACCCCGTTCCCTCAGGACCGCCTTCTCTCACGGCGATCTCCTCGAGTGAGCGGATAAACACCCGCTCGGCCACCTCAAACGACCTCTCGTCGTTGAACGGCGGGTACAGCTCCAGCTCGAACTGGAGCCAGCCCCCGTGCTCGCCGATACTCACGAAGGGGGGCCGCCCAGTCCCTGGGATCGCGGCATCGTGGCCGAGCGCACCGCACATGTCGTCCACGATCCGTCGCACGTTGCTTCCCCGATCGCCCAGGATGCCAGAGGACCAGAAAGCCGCGCACTCTGGAGAAAGAAGAAAAGGAATTCGCCGGCCCAACGGGCCAGGGCGTGCTAAGATCTCCGGTACCTGGTTAACAGTATTTCTAGTTCGCGCGCGCGGGGCGGCGGCCCCTGGGGGTCCCCGGACGAAAAGTACCCCGGCAAGGTCCCGGCAAGTCCCCGGCAAGTCCCCGGCAAGTCCCCGGCAAGGTCCCGGCAAGGCCGGGCCAGAGATGCCGGAGTTCTGTTTCGGAGTCCAAGAGGGCTCCAGATCGGTCCAAGAGAGCCCCGAGAAGCTTTCTAGACGGTCCAAGAGAGGCCCGAGACGGCCAAAGATCGCCCGAAGACGCCCCAGATGGCCCCAAGACAGCCCAAGAGGCCTCCAAGACGCTCCAAGGGCCTTCCAAGAGGCCTCCGAAGAGGGCCCCAAGTTGCCAAAATCGTTGATTTTCATGTTTTTTTCTATGTTTTTTTGCGTTCTGGCCTTTTCGCTTCCGGACGCTCCAAGAGGACCCAAGAGGCCTTCAAGACTGCTCCAAGACGGCCCACGAGGCTCCCAAGACGGCCCCGGAGCGGCCCAAGAGCGCCCCCCAGACGGCCCAAGTGCCGCCCAAGGCGGACCAAGAGGCCCCAAGACGGGCCCAAGAGGGGCTCAAGAAGGGAACCGAGAACTGAAAAATCGAGCCCTCCGCCCCAGAAGGCGCCCAGGACCCCGAAAGAGGCCCCAAGAGACTCTCCAAAACACCCCCAAGACGCCCCAATAAGCTCCCGTGAGGCCCCAAGAGGACCAACAACGTCAGGCCCCAGGCCCCAAGAGGACCAACAAATACCGCCAAGAGCCCGCCGAAAGCCCCCCAAGAGACCGTCACGAGAGCTCAGGAGGCCCCCTGGAGGCCTCCCGAGTTCTCCAAGAGGCCTAAAAAGAGGCGCCAAGAGGTCCCAAACGGCCCCAACGAGGCTCCAAGAGGCCACGAACGCGCAAGCAAACGCCTGCGATGGCACAATACGGACCGGCGGAATGAGCGAAGCGATTAAATAACAAATTAACTTCACAACGGTCCGCTCGAATTTCTTGGACCTGCGCTGGAACCCCCGGGCGGCGCCCCCAGTGCCGCCCTTCTGGCGCGCTCCGCGCGCCTGGGAGGGGGGCCTAGCACGGATCCCAGAAATCCGCACGGACCGTCCAAAGTTCATGCTCTTTCGAGCACATAAAGTGGAAGCCAGTCCACAAGAAACCTTCCAAAAGAAACCCAACCCTGAGACCCCAGGACGTCCATGGATTTCTCGTCCGGGAACGCCAAGAATCTCATCGCAAGCCCGTCGAAAGCCGAGAAACCCAGGGCACCCAGAGGTAAGCCTCCTCCTCCTCCTCCTCCTCCTCCTCCTCCTCCTCCTCCTCCTCCTCCTCCTCCACTGTAAGCGGTAGAGGGGAGCCCGCTTCCCCGCGGGGGGGCGCCTCTCGGGAGACGACCTGCTGGAGGGTCGCCAGGACCCACCAGCACGTCGCCCCCGAGGGGACAACCGACGTCGGACGTCCGCAGACGTCGACGACGACGAAGACGACGACGACGACGACGACGACGACGACGACGACGACGACGACGATGACAGACTGTGCGGCGACCTCGAAACCCCAAGAAAACTCACCGCACGGTCCGTCGCCCCACGGTCCGGGGACCTCGAAGGCCCCAGTCGCCCGAGACATCCTCGGAGAACGACCCGAATCCTAAAACATTGCGGTCACCCTAAATTCCCACTGACTCACCACACTGTGTGGTCACCACACCGTTTTGGGGCCCCCGAGTGTCTCTCCACACCATCTTCCCACGCGAAGCAAGCAGGAGGGCGTCGACGTAGCCGCCGCCCAAAGGGGGCGGGGAGTAGGGGGACAAAGTTCCGATACCGCTTCTCCCCGGGCCTCTCCCGTGGTGCGGTCTGACCAGAATTTCGAAGAGAATCCAGCCGTGGCGACGAGAGCTCTCCAGGAGGGGCAGCTGTATCGGTAAATTGTCCGACTCTGAGGGAGGGGGCTCGACGCCAGCGGGCAGACCGTTCGCAGGCGTTGGAAGCTTGTGCATGCGGTCTTCTGGTCCTCCGAATGCGCCCCCGCTCGGACACGGGCACCCACTGATTGCTCACTGTGCCCACAAAAGACTGGCCGTCGCCGTTGGGTCTGCTGTGGTGGTGAGCCCGCGAATCCCAGTGCCTCCGCCCCAACCGCGCCAAAGGAGGAGGCAGAGGATGAGGAGGAGAAGGAGACCGGGGAGGAGGAGGGCAGAAGAGCCCAGAATCGAATCGGCAAGTCGGATCGGCGATCGACACAAATCGGAGGTTAGTATGCCTCCAATGAGGAATCAGAGCCCCAATCGGGATCCCAAGTCGAATCGAATCAGAATCGGAAGGCATCGAAATCGAATCGAATCGAATCGGAGGACACGAAACGAGCCCTGCAATCGCGCCCAGGGAGGAGGTAGAGGAGGAGGAGGAGGAGGAGGAGGAGGAGGAGGAGGAGGAGGTAGAGGATGAAGAGGAGGAGGAGGAGGAGGTAGAAGATGAAGAGGAGGAGGAGGAGGAGGACGGGGAGGACGGGGAGGAGGGGGATGGGGAGGGAGAGCAGGCAGCAGAGCGTGGGCGTGGACTTCAGCGGGCGCCCTCGGCACTGGGCCCCCGCCTCCGCCGACCCCCTGGGGGCTCGAGGCGGGGCGGTCCCGAGAAACCACGGGAGGGGCTATCCCGGTGAGCTCTGCACGCCTCCCCTGCCCGAGGCTGCCCCCGTCGGGGCACATCGGAGGAGGGAGGGAGCAGGAGGGAGCGCGCCGCGGCCGAAGCCGAGGCCGCAGAACGTGGAGGGGGGGGGGGGGAAGTGGGGGCGTGAAGCGGGCAGAGTGATCTCGTCACGCGACACGACGTCTCCTCCTCTCCCCTCCTCTCCCCCCCGTTCTCCTCCTCCTCCTCCTCCTCCTCCGCCTCATCCGCCTCCTCCACCTGAGAGTCGCATCACGTGGCGAATCCCAGTTGCCGATGAAGAGGGAGAGCGAGGAGGGACGAAGACCGCCGGACGCGGGACGAGGGAGCAGAGAGGGCGGGGAACTGGGAGGACGCTCGAGGGGCCACAGAGAAGAGAGGAGGCAGTGTTGGGAGATGCGTTGGATTTCGAGGCCGATTAGGCAGTGAGCCTGTCAACAGAGGTCGGCACGCAACCTCGCAGAATGCGAACGAGATGACATCTGCTGGGGCACCCAGGATGAGCAAAGCAGACTGAGATTACCAGCTGGGCGGTGAGGCGAACTGCGTTGAAGCGCAGCCGACCTTAGCGGTCGTTCGCAGTACCTGGACGGGAGAATCGTTTTCACCCCAGAACGGATTTATCCCCGTCCTAGCCCCGCTTGACCCGGGTAGGATTCAAGTCGGGCCTGTCCCCCTACAGGGGGACTTTCGACGAGAAATAAAAAATACCCCAAAAATAGTCTGGGTGCTATCTTTTGAATATGTTTCGACCTTTTTTGGGGCATGTTTGGGGTATTTATTATCTTTCGTCGAAAATCCCCCTGTAGGGGGACACGCCCGACTTAAGGGTAGGAGGTTCGCGGCTGCCTGGCAGCTGCGCCCAAAACCCCGCACCGGGACAGCGGCTGAGTACTGGGAAGGAGGGAGGCGTGAGGAGGGGCAGGGAGAGGGGAGGAAGGGAGGCAAGGGAGGCCTGGCCAGATCAGGCGCCAGCAAAAACAACCATCGCCACTGGGTGCGCAGAAACGGTTCGGGGCGGCAGGCAGCTCTTCCAGATACTAGATCTGTGGATGCCATGACACTGGACACTCTAACAATCCTATCATTGAATTAAACATGTGTTTAAAATGTGCAAAACATGTTCTATAAATGTTTCAAACATGTTTTTACAGATTCAAAACATGTTTGAAACATCTTTTCATCTGGAAATTACTTGGCAACATGCTACCTCTCCATTGATCGCCTCCACAATGCTAGATCTGTGAGCCCTCGGTGGAGGGGGAGCGCTATCCGCGAGACCGAGCGGAGCCCCTGAGATGGCTCGGCGCACCTGGGGTGCGGGGCCGGGTGCTCGGGGCCCCTTCGGCAAGTTCGCGACGTGACGACCCCGGCGCTGGTTCCTGACGCCACGAAGATCGCTCTCAACCTTGCACGATCGCGCGTTCCCGACACGCCAGGGCGCTCCGGGTTGGCCGACTCCGGGCCACCGACGGCGTCGAACCTCGAACGCCCGCGTCGGGGCCGCCGCCGCGTCGGCACGGCACGAATCTGCCGTGCCCCTGAGCCGGGACACTGCTGGAAAAACACACACACAAAAAAAGCACTATAAAAAAACACACAATGGGAAAAACACATATATACATACACACACACAAAAAAAATGTAGGAAAAAACACACACACACACACACACACACACACACACTTGTGGGACAAAAAACACCGTGTGTATGTGTGTTTCCCACAATGTGTTTTTTCCCCCACAGACTTCGAACGCCCCACCCGCAGAGAGCGAAGAGCGGAGAGAGCTCCGGCTCGAGGCTGCAGCGCTCTCGGGCGCGCCAGGGTCCTGGCTCGTCGGAGCCCCCGTTGAAGGGTGCTCCGAGGTGCCGCCGGGGGGGGGCGGGGAGCGGCGGGGGTTCGGGGATACACTGATGAAGGGGCCCAAGGACACACAAATAAATACACACTAGTAAAAATATGCCCCATAGTTTCCTATATTTCCTGGGTTTTTGTCTTCCCCCCCACTGCCCATATTTTCCCATATTTTCTGGGGAATCGTCGATTAATTGTGTCTGTGTGTTTTTTCTCCTCCTGAACTGACCGGGTCAATCCAGGCCCGGGTCAGTCGGGCCTTGCAGGGGGTCCTGCAGGACCCTGCAGAGTCCTGCAGGATCATGCACCCCAAGCCCGCGGGAGTGCGCCCCTGGCCCCGCAGGATGCTGCAAGAACGGGCGCTCTGACGGACCCCCGCTTGCGTGGAGCCCCGTCTCTTGAGCCGCGACGGGTGCGGGCGGTTGCGCGGCCGGCCCCGAGGTTCGCCGGCTGCTCGGTGTGGTCCCACCAGCGCTGCCCCTGCTTCGCCTTGGGCGCCGCCTTCCGCGACGGGCCCTGGGGCGGCAGGCGCGGCACCCCACCTCTGCAGTCTACGTGACCTGCCATCGGCCCCACTCATGTGTTTCGACAGAGGCGCAGGGAGAGCGAGAGGGGAAGGGAGGAGGAGGAGGAGGAGGAGGAGGAGGAGGAGGAGGAGGAGGGGGAGGACGAAGAGGACGAGGACGAGGACGAGGACGAGAACGAGGACGAGGAAGAGGACGACGACGACGACGACGACGACGACGACGACAAGGAGGAGGGAGGCGAGAGAAGGAAGGACGAGTGGGGATGGAGGTGGAGGACAAGAGAAGGAAGGATGAGGCGCGCCGGTGGCAGAAGCGAGGGCAATCAAGGTACAGAGCTGACTCAACTGCTGGCGCGAAGGGCAGCTGGACAAAACAAAAACCTGCATTGCCCTCATCTTTGCGCACGCTCCGACCTCCCTGCCACAACAGACAGCGATCCTGCCCTGCGTTTTGCCCTCAACCCCCTCCCGCTGGCAAGCGCACAGGGCGGACCCTGGGCGCGCGCGACCACAACAACACTGCACCCGCGACGGCAACACCCTTGGGGCCTGTGGCCGCCACATCAATCACTGGGGCGGTAAGAGAACTGGGCCGTGCCATCGAAGACCGCTCACGGGACAAGAACGACCGAGGGCGCGAAACCGGGATCCACACGAGTGCACGGTCGGCCCGCGCGTTGAGACGCCAGAGCTATCGCGCCCCCTGCTCCCTCTTACACCAAGACTTGCTTTCGCGTCCTCACTCACCCTCCTCGATCACACGTCCTCCCCCCCGCGACAGCGCCCACCACTCCCCCCTACCTCCCACATCTCTCGTCGGCCCTCCCGTTGCCCCGCTTCTGGAACGCGCAACCTGCAATCGGCCCCACATGTGTAATTACAGCAGGTTCGCGTCGTGTCGACCCTGGCGTTGGTTCCTGACACCGTGGGGATCGCTCAACCTTGAACGATCGGGCGTCTCCGAAACATCAGCTCGGTCAACGTCGACCGATTCTGGGTCGCCGGCGGGCGGCACTTAGAATTGAACGCCGGCGGCGGGGTCGCCGCCGGTCGACATAACGCGAACCTGCCGTACTTTCACTAGGCGGCGAGCGAGGAGGGGAAGTGAAAAGGGGCGGGCCTTCTCAGAAGGTTCGGAAGTCCCCCGGCCTTCCGAGACGTATTCGAAGCCTTCCCCGAAGACAGAAACAACTTCTCAGAAGGCGCGAGGGCTTCTGAGAAGTCCCGCCGCCCTCTGAGAAGGCCTTCTCCTTGTCACTTGCCCCCCCTCGCTCGCCGCCGGCATCCCCCCTGGAAGAGGAGGAGGAGGAGCAGCAGGAGCAGGAGAAGCAGGAGGAGCAGGAGGAGCAGGAGGAAAAGGAGGAGGAGAGTGAGGAGGATGAAGAGGAGGAGGAGGAGGAGGAGCAGGAGGAGGACGAGGAGGAGAGTGAGGAGGAAGAGGAGGAGGAGGAGGAGGAGGAGAGTGAGGAGGAGGAGGAGGAGGAGAAGCAGGAGGAGGAGGAGGAGAAGCAGGAGCAGGAGGAGCAGGAGGAGCAGGAGAAGGAGGAGCAGGAGGAGCAGGAGGCGCTGATACACAGAGGCGCAGGGCTGCAGCCCGAGGAGAGGAAGGCGAGGATGGCAGCACGGGCGGCGCCACCGCACGGCCCCCAGGAGCCCTCGCTGGGCGTGCGCTCTCCGGCCGGGGCCCCGGGGCGGAGCCGGCCGCGTCGCCGAGAAAGCCCCGGGAGGCCCCGGAAGGCGTACAGCCGTCGCGCCAACTTTAAGTCGGGCATGTCCTCCTGCAGGCGGCTTCTGGGGGCAAATTAGAATAGATATAGTGAGGAGATGCTCAAAACTAGCGCCAAAAAAATGCTATAATAATAATAAATGAATAGGTACATGAATGAATTGATATATATATATATATATACAAAAATTAAGTAATTAATATAAGTAATTAATAATAATAATCATAATAATAATACTAATAATAATAATAATAGTAATAATAATAATAACAACAACAACAATAACAATAATAATAATAATAAGAAGAAGAAGAAGAATCAACCAACCAAAAAACAAAAAAACGTCCCCCGACTGACGTCTGACTATTTTTGGATAGTCCCCCTGTACAGGGACCTGCCCGGCTTACTGCTGCCTATGTGTTGTTCATGGTCGGCGCGATGCGCGCAGCGCGCAGCGTTCGCTCTCGAGAACCAGGGTTTGCGGCGCCACCAGAGGCACCCCAGCTAGACACCCTCCTGTTAAGTCGGGCGTGTCCCGTCCCCCCAGAGGGGGATTCCGACGAAAAATAAAAAATACTCAAAAAATACCCCCAAATGGTCCAAAAATACTGAAAAATAGTCCCCAGGCTATTTTTCTACTATGTTTGAAGATTCCTCCTGTAGAGGGACGAGCCCGACTTAACCCTCCTGGCGAAGGAGGGAACGAGAGGGAGCTTCGGGCCACGGCGATATCCTCGGCCACGCCCAGGTTCCCCGACCTGTCCCCTGTACCTGAGGCTCGGCCTGAGAGAACCAGCGCCCCTCCTCGGCCTCGAGAGGTCCTTTAGGGGGCCACATGCGAACCCTACCCCTACCCCCCACGACTTCTGAGGGCGAGGGTGGGGTTCACTCCGCTCGGGAGCTCCCGAACGAAGTGAACCCCACCCTGCCCCTCAGAAATCGTGAAGGGTAGGGGTAGGGTTCGCATGTGGCCCCCTAAAGAGATCCTTGTTTCCGCACCTCGACCGTGCAAAAACTCGGGGCCTCCCAGATGGGGTCGGAGTGGATGGGGTCGGAAGGTCGGGCCACATCGCCGATGCATTGGCGATGCACCGGCGACGTCGGCGATGCATTGGTGCCGTCGGCGTGGAGGAAGCTGGGTTCCACATCGAGCCGCATCGCCGACGCATCGGCGATGCAGCGTGATCCTTCAACCCCATCTACTCCGACCCCACCTGGACGGCTTAGACAAATCCAAAGACCTCGATGCATCACCCTGGGTTCCACTCTCCCTCCTTCGGGCTGGGCTGGCACATGAGGGGCAGTGGGAGGAAGGAAGGCTTCTCAGAAGGAGGCCGCTTCTTAGAAGGCACCGGCCCTACATCTACAGACGAGGCCCGCGCCCTCCAAAAAGCAGTGCTTCTTAGAAGCCTTCCCCCCTCCCCCTGCCCCCCTCCGCGCGTGGCCGAGCTTGGGCAGCATCCAGAGGGGCCAATGCGGACTCCTTCTTGTGGGCCTGCGAGGCCTTGGGAGGCTGTCGAGGGCACGGGGGTGCCAGAACTGGTGCTTACGCTTGGAGACGCAAGAGACCGAGTTGAAGACCAAACCCAGACATGCGACGTCCTGATTTTTCAGGACGGCGTCCCTGGAAGTCGTTTTTTGTCCTGAGTCGCTTCTGGCCGCTCCCGAGGCCCAGCGAGCCCCCAGGGGCCGCAAATAGCCAAACGCTTCCCGCCCTGCTTTCTGTTCTACGACGCGATCGTGTCTGGGAACGGAGGACCCTCTCTGCGCGGGGCCGACTCCCTCCCTCGGGCTGGGCCTGCGCGGCGCCGGCCTGCTCCCGCGAGCGGGAGCGGCGGCGAGGCCGCCGCCACTCGCCGTGCGCCTCCGGCGCCGCCGCCCGGGCGGCGTCCGCCCCCGCGCCGCCCCAGGCCTCGCAGGCCGAAAAGGTCCCGGACGGGGGCCACGTCCCTTATCCGTACCGGCTTCGTCATCCCCTCCAACATCATCACCCACAGCGCCATCATCGCCATCACAATCACCATCACCATCATCCGATCACGATTACCATCCTCATCATATTCTGCATCATCATCTTCTGCATCATCATCATCATCATCATCATCATCATCATCATCATCATCATCATCATCATCATCATCATCATCATCATCACCGTCATCAGCATCACCTTATCATTCTTAGGATCATGAATATTATTATTGTATTGATAACAAATCTGAGTTTACCAATCATTAACAGCATCATTACAATCAGCATCATCATCAGAATCATCGTCGTCAAGCTCATCATCGTCATCACAATAACAACCATCATCATCATCATCATCATCATCATCAGCATCATCAGTATCATCATCATGATCATCATCAGCATCATCATCATCATCACAAACATCATCATCATCACCACCACCACCATCATCATGATTGCATCATCATCATCATCGTCATCATCATCATCATCATCATCATCATATTCATCACCACCATCACCATCATCACCATCAGCATAATCATCACCAGCATGATCACCAGCATCATCACCATCATCACCACTACTGTCATCACCAGCATCATCACCAGCATCATCACCACTATCATCATCATCATCGTCATCAACACCATCAGCATCAACATTATCACCATATACATCATCATCAGCATCATCATCAGCATCATCTTCATCACCACCATCATCATCACCACCATCATCACCCGCATCGTCACCATCATCACCGCCACCGTCATCACCACCATCATCGTCATCAACACCATCATCATAAGCATCATCATTATCAAAATCATCATCATCAGCAGCAGCACTATTATCATCATCGTCAGCATCAGCAGCATCATCATCATCATCGTCATCATCAGCATCAGCATCAGCACCATCATCAGCATCATCACCATCCATGCTTCCCCATGATGCATCATTATGATATTCATCGTTGTCCCAACCCACAACATGTTCTTGATCACAATCATCATCATCAGCAACATCACGAGCATCATCGTTGTACTGATCAGTCGCAGCAGCATCGTCATTACCATCACCATCACCACAATCGGCGTTATGCTCGTTACCACCGTCATCGTCGTTGTTATTGTCACCATCATATCCTCATGTGGCTATATTCGTCAACTGCATCATCTTATCATCATCGTCATCGTCAACGACACCGTTGTCATAACCACAGCTCACAATCCCTCCAGCCATTCCTCCATCCTTCCATCTCCCACACTCCTTCCCTCCATCGT